ACTGTAGGTCTTGGCAAAGAGCAACGTGCTGGAGGAGTGAGGCTGGAAGAGAGGAGGGCACAGGGATGGACTCAACAGGAGAGGAAAGAAAAATGAGTAAAAGAGTGATAGAAGGGGGGCAAGGAAAATGATAGGGAAAGAATAAATGGAGGATTATTAAAGGCGTGAGAGAATGAGGGGTTGGGGGGTGTGACTGTGGCAGCGGCAACTGGAGATAAGATATGAAGATGTGGTCAGAAAAATAAGGAAAGGAAAAGTCACATTTGATAGAAAAGAGAGGAAGGGAGAGAAAACTTAGATTTAATCTAAGGCTAAATGAGGCCAGAGAGTGTGTGGGTAGGTGCAAAATAATTAAAAAAGAAAAAAAGAAAAAGCATCAGGTGTGCTTCCTGTCGAGCAGAAAACCAACTCGAGGACATTGCTGTGTGCACAGATAGAGGATGTTGCTATTCAATTTATTTTGCTGAAATTGACCTGGGAGTTCTTCAAACCACCTGTGTATCTCATTGAATGTTACTGTGGCTTTCTCTGAAAGTGATGGGACTGTGTAGGTGTGCATTCCTTTTACTGTATGCCCACTTTCCCTCTAGTGACCGATTTGCTTAAAGAGTTGAGGAGGAATGAAAATGCTGATAAAGGATGAAAAAGAGGAGAAAATTGAGAGAAAAAGAAAAAGTAAGATGACCACTGGAGCGTGTCTTACTTTTTTTTGGACAAATTGTTGAGCCTCTTCTAATGCAGCTCAGCTACTGTTCTCTCTTTTCATTTTCAATTGAACATGGAGGAGGGCCTCTACATGGGGAAACATGAGAAGATGGATGGAGAGGGACAGGGGTTGAAAGAGAGAACTGGGTGATCAGAGTAATTTCCTCCTCTTAAGAGGATCATTTACTGTCTTGACCCCACAACACATGTTGCATTTGAATCCAAGAAAGCACATCCCTACCAGCTATTAGTTTTGATTCTGCTGCGAAAAGCCATAAAGAAAACACTACATTTATATCTCTATTTGTTGGTTTGTCCATATGTATATGACTTGAAGATTGAAATCATTTACCCGCCTGCTCACCTTCTTTCTTTCTCCTAACTGACAGACTGCCTGACGGGCTGATTGAGGTCTTTCTGAAGAACAAACAATGGTCGACCAGAAATAATTTTCCTAACTCCAGCTCTAGTTAGAATCACAGTGATTTGTTGACCCGTGTTCAGCGATAGACCGAGACAGGTTAATGCGTTTCCTTCACAACAAACCACATCTGAACCAAACAGAAATAACTGCTGCTGTCAAAAAGAATGAGATTTCATTTTTAAGATGCACAAAGAAAAAAAAAAAAAGGCAGACACAATATAAATGTAAAACAAGGCTGTATCTTAACCTTTAAAACAAATCACTGCCGACCTCAACTCTCTATTTGTGGGTTCTTAAATCCAAATAAACTAAAAATATGGTACTTACAAACCCATTTGTACCCTGTTATATAAAGTTATAAAGGGAAACGCGTGGGTATAAAGAACATCCCATTCAAGAGCAAGGCCATCAGGACTCCTTATTAGCTTAACTGACATGTGAATGGCAGACAACAATTTGTTATGTTGTCACTTTCTGTGTGGGTGGAGAGTGCTCGCATTGAAAGGAAAACACAAAATAAAGAAACAAGTGAACAGTAGAACTATATAACTGACAAAACAGACTTGCTTGTTGTAGACAGTGCTCATCTCTCAATTCAAACCCAACAATCTCTTGGCAGGTGCAACTCCTGGCAGCTAATGAGTCAGAGCCACCTTCCCAGGTGTGATGTCAGTTCTGAGCCTGCTTCCTTCAGCCTGCCTAAACCAAAACACTTTATCATAACAGTTTCCAATAACTTTAACAATTATACTGTTCTACTCAAGTGACAGTGAGCCAGAATGCACAATATCAGGGCTTTGAAACTAAAGCAGTTAAATTGAATTTTATCCTTTAGACATTTGCTTTTCCAACTGTGACATGTCAAAATGTGTTCCTGAAAAAGGCGTATACCATAGTGATAAGCAATGTTTCGAATGTGGAAACTGAATTATTTTGTAGACTGGACAAAACCTGGTGATTTTTGTTTTGGAAAATGCAACACAGGTTTTGAATGACACTGCTGCACAGCTTGATTGATCATCAGTCCACCTAAAGGCTCAGCACACCCACACCGGTGATTTCAATTACTCTGGTTGATTAGATTTCTGCTGGGTGGAGATATGCTCGGAATTACATGATGTCCCCAATCTCTATGTACTAACACTAAATGGTGAATTGTCCTGTCATAACGAGTTCAACTAAGAGAAAGGTGAGACAGATCACACTCAATCAAGCACACACAGTCCTGAACAGAGGTCCAACCACACAAAATAAGTGGATTCATTGAATTTCCTCAGATGTACAGGGCTCTTGTCAATACTCATCCAGAGGAGCAGAACAGACACGTCACTACTTATCTGCTTTTTTTTGTGTAAACACAAGAAGGATTAGATACATTTAAACTGAAACATTTGACTATTTAATCTGCACATAATCAGTGGAGTAGAACCCCTTGAGGTGCTTTTTTTTAAACCTTTTTTTGGGCTATATTTTATTCTCCTATATGTGTGAACAAATGTTCATTCCAGCTGTGGGGAAGGACAATATAATTCATTATTGTGTCTCAACACATGGCCATCAAACTGACAGGCTGTGTTGTGCCTCATTAATCACTTATTCTGCTGCAGAATCCAGACTTTACCAAATGGTCCTGATGATCAATGCGATACTGAAACTTACAGCTTAGATTTTTAACAAGGGTGTTACACATTAGCCGCCATGTGCCTTTACTGGCAGCCCTGAATCAATTTAGATTAAGTTAGGAATACAGATGAAGAGAATGACTTTTTAAGGATGTTGGAGTGCTAACACAGAGATGTCCACAGCTTTTTCTTCTTCTCTCACACCTACCCTCATAAATATTAACTACAGACCCGCAGTAGAAACACAGGCCATCAATAATGAAGCTACCCAAAATGCTTCTTCCCAAATAATTGCAGCTACAAGCCAAGTCCTGGAGACAGCCTCTAAGGCGTGTTGCAGCTGTGGTGCCACTGCCTCATTTTGCCTAAACAATGATTTCACATGGAGGGCAGAAGCAGTGCAGGGGATATTTGTTTACATCCCTCTTGTGCTATAATGGGGCTGTGGTGGATTTATTTAAACTTGGTTGGAGTTGAAGGAGAGCAGAAGAGGACCTTCAATAAGATGGTCAATGATTAACTGAAGAAAATAAGAGCTGCAGGTGTGTAATGTAACATAGAAATTAACCACACGTCTCCCATTCCTCATTCTTCTGGAACAGCACTGTGTTCTGTTGGTCAAATTGTGGTCAGGCATTTGCTGTTATAGGCAATTAACCTTTTTGACTTTGGCCATAATTAATATTAAAAACATCAGATATGCAGCTGTTTAGCAACATAATTAACAACACAACACTTAGTAACACTGGGAAAGGCAATTAAACACTCCTGAGAGGAGAAAGCCAAAGAACAGACACGCAAGCGCAGATGTAATGCAGTAAATAACCCAACATTTAGGCTGAAATGTCATAATTTATTCCAATTGCTTCTAAAAAAATCATTTTGTCTCATTCAATAACAAACCCAAACCAATTCGACTCTAGCAAATCATTACAAACTCAGTGTGTGTAATTCATGCAGATAACATACATTTGTCACAAATGATTGATCCAACAACAGATTGTAGATTGATCTCCAATAGTGTTAATGCACAGGCACACCTAAATGTTGCATAATATGTGCCTTTGGGTATAAACATTAAAGGTTATTGATAATCAGAACCAGGACAATGTGCCTCTCACGATCCCTGACCCCCGATCTGTGACCTCTTTCCATGAGTAATGACCCTTTAAACCTCAGCTTGGCCTGTTGTCTTTGTATGCATGAATATAGAACACAAGATTCAACCTGCTTTGTGGTCTTTTCTAATTCCGGAGGTTCGGGAAAAGAAATCTGATGGTGCATCTGTCTAATAACTGTTTACATTTGATCCTGAAAGTGATTTCACTAAAATAAACACCAGTGCAGCTTCTGTATGTAATCAAAATATTTACTATGGTTTAACCCGCAGTTCTTTGGCCAGGACCCAGAATCACTGTGCCAGAGAGAACGCCGTCAACAACAACTTTGTACCAACTGTGATGTGTTAAAGCTCAATCGAACCCTATGGGGTTCATGTTGCTGCGTTTCTTCAAGTCTCATCAAAAGTGAGAAAGTCACTTTGATATTTTCTGCCAGTGCCACATCTACTTCATCTTCGTTTCTTTATTTTCCAGCAGTCCTCCCTCATCTGCAGCACCATGTGCTGCTGCTCCAGCACTTTAATCAGCTGCTCCACCCCTCGCTGAGCTCATGGCTCCTCTGTGGCCCATGTGTCCTTGCATGTCTCTGTCATTCACACACACACACACA